AAGATTTTTCGCTTTTTATACACGCGCTGCTTTCTATTTCATTTTCACGTGCTTTTTTTTTTCAAACGAAAATTGCGTGTTTCTTCCGGCACGTGCAAAACCTGTCACACACAGATGGAGCGAATTTATCAAGGCATGGAAATTTGAAAATTTAATGTAAACAGTAATTTCCTGGTGTGTCGCCTACGGACAATGTTCATCTTTGAACGGTGGCACTTTTCGCCAAATAATAAACAATCGACTATTGTCATGCAAAGCGTCTTTGGTACGCACACTGTGCGTACATGTGATAATGAAATGATAATACCTACCATCAACGGCTTTATTCTGAATTATCGCGTTTTTTGTTGACTTAATGATGATGAATATTTGAAATTCAAAGAGAGGTGAAGGCAGGTGAGATATTGGTTTGATTCTGCATACATTCGGCAGAAAAACAGATCAATTTACGCAGCATAACGAATGTGTTAAATTACTCATAAAATACCAATACCAGCGAGTATTTCAAACTAAAATAATTCATACTATAATCACCTGATTGTTTTTTGCCTTTGGTTTGTATTCAATATTTAGATTTAGGTGCTTCCTATTGGAGAATGTTTAGGTATTTGACCTTGTACTTGATTTTTGCCTCGCGGTCCTCACGCGGTATAATAACAAATTTCGACACACGCATTCCTCATCGTGCATCTCTTTTGCTTCTCTATCTATTTAGTTTTTCTTGTGTGCCTTCCACATGATCTCGGTACACTTTAGCGCTTAAATTTGAATTCTGTATAATTTTCCTCGGTGTGTTGAACTTCTTGGTTCTTAGTACTGCGTCGTTTTTTTTCTGCTGCGGGTTGAAGTATCATTCGTACTCTAGGCGCTCGTTTGATGATGACGATGGCGATGCGAGCGTGAGAACACGAAGAATGCGATTGCCCTCGTTTCGCTCCGTTTCCCATTTCTCAGCGCTGCGGTGTAAAGGTATACTAGGTCCGTTGTGCCAACGTTCTACGTTTCAACAAGCAAAAGGTTACCACAAGCAGAAGGCGTAATGCACTTCAAACTGATTAAATAAATAGTGTATTAAATTTTAATTTAAGTAATTGCGGCATACAAAGAAAAACGCTTATAAGATTTTCTTTGTAGTAACTTTTCCTGTTTTCTCCGCATAGAAAGAACAAACAACCTTTGCAGAGTTACCTTTGTATTGTTTTCTCTCGACAGGACTTTCCTTTTTAGGGTTTCTTTTATAAATCCTCGCTTTTGTGCATGGCGTTACTTTCTGTGCTTTGTATATTTTTCCTTAGTTTTTTTTTCCTTGAGAGATGGAGGGAAATTTAGATAAATGAGTCTACAGGTTACAACCAACACCATTTTGGTCGGTTAATTATGTTTTTATCTTCTAATTTTTCTTATTTTTGTGTAGATTTCTAACTAGCCATGCGAAAAACGTTGAGCGGTGCATTTAATTAGCTCGCAACGCGTAACATTCTTTAAGCATTATCATTATCTTTTATTTCATAATTATAACACATATTTAGATAAAAAGGTAAAACACGGCGAATGTTATAAAATATAGTACATGTGGTTGGAGTAAAAACATTTCCACAAAACTTTTTCTGGATCGGTGGCCGCCACGTGCCAGCTCGCTTGATGGATGCGGCTGACTCTCCACCCTCATTCCTCACGAAAATCGCAATTTTCTCGTGGTCGAATAGCGTAACCGTACATTTTTTTACCACACTCATCCATGTTCCGCGTTTTGTTTTATTTCAACTTGCGATGGTTTTTCTGCTCGTGATGATCCCTAAGGACAGTAAAATGTGAGCGCGCGCGGCTGGGTTTATGCGCATTTAGCATAAAAGTAAAAATAAAAATGAACGCGAGCAGCAGCAGTTGTTGTAAAGTATAGTAAAATGTTCGCGCCTGCGACAGGATAACTAATGCCACATTGTGCCGGGCGATGTAACACGTTGTGGCGTGCTTGTTGTCCTCAGGCGGTAAATAACACGCCTGCCAAGAACACATCAGATCATAACAGCAAACAAAGCAGGAATAAAGGAAGAAAAATAATAACACTATGACAGGATAACAAACTGTAGCTGTATAAAATTACGTATAAACCGACAGGACTAAACCCAACTTGAAATTAATCCCCTAAAAAGTGCTTCTATCATTAACCAACTTTATGGCTCAATATAACATTTACATTTAAAGTTTCATACAGGAAAATAAAAATCAAATAAATTTGGTACCTTCACGTCATCACTGCGTCTAAACTACGCATTGAAAGAAATAGATTAAATTAATAAAACATTACGGGCGACGAGTTATTTTCGTTGGCATTGACATACAGTCGAAGACAACATAACACATAATTAGGAAGCTTTGCCCACATTGCCAGGTTCAGCTCAGATGAAAACAAATGTTTTGGCATGCTTTTGAGCGAAAAAATTCAACGTAATATCTCGGCTAAAAACGTAAATATTATGTCATAGTATACAGGATAGTAAGTTAAAAAGATACAAGCCTAGTAACGTAATTTTGTAAATACATATTAAAACGGTGCATAAAATTAGAGTTAATGTTTGTTTTCTTGTGTGAGAGGAAGCTATGACTCAACTTTTAACTTTCTACGCATATGCTCAGCAGTTGATGAGTAAATTTTATGATTTGTAACTATTTGCAAAGCATGAAGCGTAATCTACGCTTTATCGCGTGCCAATTCATATACAAATAAAAGATGTTTAAAAAACGAATCATATTTGTTTTATATCTTTTAACATTATTATCGATAATGTTGCTTGCTTCTGCGTCTCTTGCATGATTAATTTGACATTTACTATAATGTCACCTACCTGTTTATGATTTTATTTGTTTATTATCATAACTCAGAGATATATGTCAAAGAAATGTCATAGGAAATATAATTCTTCTAACTAAAGTTAGTGAAAGTTACGAAATATTCATTACTGTTTCATAACTTTGGCAGCTTGTTTGATGAAAAAGTTTTTGCTTTGTTTTTCTTATTTTGTTGCGTTTTGTTATTTGCTAGGCATGTGGATTTCATGTGGAGACACTTATGTTCAACGTAATTTAACAGATAGTTTCACTTTTTTCCATTAACTTTTGGCATCGGTTTTCTTTCTATTTTGTTTTTGCGATACATTATATTATCATTTTCTTTGGCTAAAAGAATGGTTTTTCTGGGATATTCTCGGTTGGTTTTATTTCTTGATTTTTATTCAATATTACAAAATATTTGTAAGATATAAAAATATCATGAAGATGAAAATTTAAGAGACAGCTGAAAAAGGAAATGGGATTTTATTGCTTCAACTGTCAAAAAAAACAGAAATCAAGATTTTGCATTAAGCGAATTTTGTTGTTTTTGTTATGAAATGCATTTTCTAATTCAGTAATGTCAACATTATTTTCATGTCCTTAATAATCTTAAGAAACCTATTATTTTGAACTTATTTCCAAGTTTAAGACATTCTTCTGATTTTCCAAATAATACTGAATGATTGGTAAGAAAATGTGTTCAATGGCCCGATCATTTTCACTTCATTAAACATTTTTCAATCTGTTTAACTAGAAAAAAAATGTTACCTTGATTACGTATTTTCAATGATACCAACCCATCAATAAAATTGTGAAGGAAAATTAAATCAAGTTGAGAAACGAAGCGAGTTCCGCGAATAATAACTCATAATTTGCGCGTTTTAGTGCTTTTTCTTCGACCAATTTTGCGAATCTGGTAAATTATCGTTTTTCATGGCGTCGTTAGCCGGTCCACCTCGCGCCCCCGGTTTGCCCTTGCCCTTGTTGTTTGCGTTTAACCTTAACCAACCTTAAGTCGAACTTCTCTCGCCTTTATCCGCGACCTTATTCTCAAGCATACGCGGTGATGTAATGTCGATTCGTGCCTTAACGTTTTCTTTCTTTTCCCTGGACGCGAGAGCGGGCTAAGAAGAGTATCGTCCATAAAACTCCAGTGAATAAAACTTTTTTTGTTAAGTTTCATACGTTTCCTTCATCTTACTTGTTTGCTGTTTTTTTTTCTCGGTTGCGTAGAGAATTTCTTGTGCTATCCTTCAACTTTGCAACTTTTGACGATCGTTTGATAATGATTTAGGTAGTCAGGTAGTCGTGGCGTGCCAACTTTCATGTGCGCGAGCATTTCATCGATTTAGAAATAAATGTCGTATACCGCCAGAGGAGAGTGAGGAAACTGTGAAATGAATTATGGGCCCGCTCGGAAAGTTTCCGAAAGCACGCCATCATTTCAACTTGCCGATTTATGCACGACAGCGGAGCAATAAAGAAAATCACGTACATCAAGACGGGAAAAATGAGCGAATTGTCAATTGCCACAATTGCTCACATTAGCGATGAATATCAGAACAAATTTTGAAGAAAACGTCACGAAGTCTAAGAATATCTTATAGCAACTCGATAAATCTGTTTATACTGTGGTATCTAATGTATTCGTAATTAAGTAATTTGTGTCATGTCTGGGGTTCGAAATAGAATGATACAGTGGGACTGAAATGAGTTATTTCAATCCATTAACAACGTACAACATGGGTTGTTATCGTCTTATCGTTTGATTTCATAATTTGGAATATTTCAGATTTTATTGCGCTGCACACCCATTGGCGCCCTCGTTCGATTTCTCGATGAATGTACCAATAAGGAATTTTTACGATTTCTTATCGCCGCGCTTTATCACGCACGCCAATAATAACTCTATTGTTGTGCGAATCGTGTGGGCCATAACACTTCCACGTCCATTTCTTCTTGGCGCCTTTTTTTGTCGTTTGTGCTGTTATTATTCACAAATGGTCGCTTATTGTTGTAGGCGAATATGATTTTTTATTTGCGCGACGAGCTGGGAATATGACACAATAATAAATAAAAAAATTATGGAAAATGGCTTATATTTGAATAAAAATAATATTATGAAATAATAAACATTCAAATGAGATGATTAGGTTTATAAGCAACCAATATTATATGAGCCGTTTATTTTGAAAGTGACCTAACTCCGTTTTTCAATTTTTTACCGGTTACCATGGTTACAAGTACAACTTCAGGTTATTTATCAGTGACGCATTTCAGATTGCTTATATTCAGAGAAAATACGGTACATTTTTTACACATAAGTTTTCCGAATTAATTGAATAACTAAGACGTGTAGTTTGAAAGTGGCCTAACTCCATTTATAGTTACATCAGGATATTTACTATTGATAATGTCGGAAAGCAGCGATGAAGGTAATTTCAATTAATTAGTATTTACAAGTTCACCTCATTTTTGGGACAATTGCGTTAGTTAATTAACCTGTACGTTTAATTAATATAAAACTTAAAATTTAATATTAAATTATAGAAATTATTGCACCCATGAGGAAGAACTGGAGAAGACCACTTAGTTCAGATAGTGAAGAAGAAATAGTAAGTAATAATTAAAAAAAAGCGAATAAGAAAAAGAGTTATAGAACAATATTAATCGTCAGAGGATGAAGATTCAAATAACAATGGAGAAAAGATAGATGCACCATATATCCAAAAAGTGCGAAAGATTAAACGGAATTCAGGAAAAAGATATTGCAGTCAAACCGGAAGTATTGATCATGAAAAAAAAAATCGAAAACAAAGATTGTGGTAGTCGGAATGCGTGCACAAAAAATTATAATGAAGAAGAAAGAAAGAATATTTTTGAGAAGTTTTGGGGATTGGCAGATTTTAGCAAACAAAATGTATTACTTCACGAAGCTGTCTATGAAACCAAGACGATTTTTTTTTTCAAATTGAAACATCTTAAATTATGTTGAATGGACTTGGGCATCTTCTAATTTTATAATGAATCTGGCTGTTAATTTTGAAAGTGGCCCAACTCCATTCTTGATAAGGAAACGCACGTTATTTACTTAATAATTGCCACTATTTTAACAGGAGCTTTAAATTTAACATCCTTAGAAACGCTTAAGCAGTATGACTCCTTAGTATCTTATACGTATATTTTTAAATTCATTGAAACGCAAAACTTTCAATATCTCGATTTGAAGATAAATGGAGTTAGGCCACTTTCAAAATAAGCGGCTCATATTGTTCGGGTATATTCGGTTGCTGGTATTTAATAATATCAATTTTTCACCACGCAAGAATTAGCCGTCATCGACCGTAAATTCTTGGCGTGTAACGTGCTAATAATGATTGAAAATTCGACGAGCGCGCTCAAACCTTTCCGTTTTTGTTCGCATCGAGGAACTCATTAAATATGAGTTTAACATGGCCTGTGAACAAACGCCACTTTTCATTCGTTTCGCACATTTTCGCTTGTTCGATTTGTCTTAATCCTACTGGCAGGATTTTTCGCTAACCTTCCGACCTCACGTAATTAATCTCAAAATTTACCGGAAATTTAAATGGATTGGATTGATCCTTTGGCGATAAAAATACCCAGACTCCTTGAGTTCAATTGAGGTTACAACTATCAAAAAAAGTTGAAAAAAGGAGTGGAAGTTGAAGCTAGAATTCTCGAACGAGATTAGATTGAATTGAAGAGGCAATACATTTACCCTCGAAAAGTACTTACCGTCGTCCTCTAGGCGGACGCAAGTTGGGAAGACAAAAAACGCGAAAAGCTGCGAGCGCAAAAAATGAGGAATGAGGAAAAGCCAAGATGCGAAGGTGGTGCAAACGGGGCATGGAGCGGATTGGAATAATGCCTTTTTATTTTTTTATTATAGCGGCGAACACCCCCAGCGGCGCGTAATGTCAATCAGGGGGATTTAAACTTTTTACTTCGCACAAGGCGGCAGGTTTTGTTTGCATAAGGAAATTTTCGACGCTTACCCGTTATTTCAGCCGGATAACCGGATTAAGCAAGGCAACCAAGCGCGAGTACTACACACGTTGCATTAGTATTCTTGTATGCCTATAGTTAATTTCAAATAAAAAGTCCTTTTATTAAATTACCTCGTTTATTTATGTGCGTTTTTCTTGTACTTGCAGTCGGTGGTTCGTATGTCGCACACGATGCCGAAGAATATTTTGTGGTTCGTGGGCACACAGCACGATTAGAATGCGATTTGGAGACATTTTGGACGCGCGCCTCGCTTTCCTCTCCGACAGGGACAGTCCAAGCTCGATGGCTGCTCAAAGGCGCGCCTCTAAGCAGGGACGACGGCCGCTGGAAGCTCTACAAGAATGGTACGCTCGTCTTGCTCAAACTAGGGAAAAGACTGAACGCCACCAACGCCGAAGGGGTTTATCAATGCCTCGCCGAACATCAGCGCTACGGCGCTGTTTTGATCAAAACTGTCAATCTTAAAATAGCATGTAAGTTTGCACATATGTTTCTTGTTGAAAATCTTTAACGAACCATTTTTGATGTCATATAGATTTAAAAGAATTTCGTCACCAACCTGATGACATGCAGGCGCTCGAAGGGCAACCGATTATTGTACCGTGTAGTATTAATTCACTTCCGAAAGCTGCCGTTCAATGGGAGCGCGATGGAGTTCCGCTACCTCAAAACAAAAGGTACTTTAAAACTATTACCTCTTAATTGAAGCAACAAATAATCATACCTTTGCTTTGGATTTATGTAGATATGTTCCTCTACCTACGGGCTCACTACTCATAACAAATGTACATTCCACGGACGTTGGTTCTTACAGGTACGTTTTTTGTGTGCGAATCTAAGACAATATATTTCATGTAACATTAATCTGTCTCTTAGGTGCAAAGTAGTTAATACTATACTTAAAAAGAACAAAAAGTCTCAAGCCGGTTACCTTTCGGTCGCAAGCAACCTTCCAGGCGCACCAGCAACGGGGATAATACCCCTCGACGAGCAACCCAATATCACTAGCGTTGTTGGTGACGATGTCACATTGTATTGTATCACTAATGGAACGCGCCAACCACATATTCATTGGTTTAATGGTAAATATTTTAAAAAATCCAAATATATTTATATCTATGTTCATAATATTTATTAGGCAAGGACATTATGGTATCAAACAACAGTATTTTTACTATACATAACATCACCCGCCAACAGGGTGGTAGCTACACCTGCTTAGTTTCCGCGCCTGAGGGCAGCTTAAAAAAGATATACCACATTAATGTTCATCAGGCACCAGTGTTCAACAGTACACCATCTTCCGGCATTTATGTGTTGGCAAAAAATATCCGTTTGAATTGTACAGCATCAGGAGTGCCCGCCCCCAAAATTAAATGGTTCAAAAACGGACGCGCATTTGAAGTTGAATCACACATTCGGACAAGACAATTCGACTGGGGGTTACTGATCAGTTCGCCAACGGCCTCCGACAGTGGTGTTTACCAGTGTTTAGCTGAAAATCAGGTTGGGAGTGCATGGACTGGCGCTTCTGTAAGATTAAACTCGTCTAGCAATACTCCTCGCAAACCATGGGATATTAATTGTTTACCGTATGAAGCTGAAAGCATGTGTCTTCGATGGACAGCAGAGCCTAATGTGGTGGCATATACTGTCATAGCTCACAAAACAGGTTAGTTTAGTTGTAACTACTATCTTAATAATTCATTACTAACACTCGAATGATTTATTATGGTCGTTAGAACCTGGGGTTGCATCTGAACCTCTTCGAGACTTCGTTGGGAATGAAAGTTTTAAGTTGGTCGAACATTTGCATCCAAACACCCAGTATACTTTCCTGATCCGAACTTACCTGAGACAGGCGAGTGACGAGTTTGCAAACGTGACTTGCAACACCGGTGTGCGAGGGATGCGAAACTTGGCTGTTAAATTAAACACTGCCAGTTCTGTTACGTTACACTGGGAGGCTATGAGCAGTGATTTCAATCCCTGCAATGAAACTACACACTACTATCAGGTTCAATGGAGGAAAATTACGTCGGATGGTGTTAACTCTATGGATGTTACAGGTTTTCATGTGGATATAATAGGTACGTAAATTATTGGTGTCAAAAAGGCAGAGTATCACTAATGGTGTTTTATAATAGGATTAATCTCTGGAGAAAAATACGAATTTCGTGTGAGATCAATAAATTCCACTCGGGCATTCGACGTCGTAAAATACTCAATGCCCGATCAGAACGAGTTGGTTGCAAAACCAGGTGAGGGCAACCATCTTAATAGCGTCTACAATGAAACATCTGACGGGACTCCGACTCCACCGCTTCAGATCAACGCGAATGTGCTCACTGCAAACAGTATTAATATTTCCTGGACAGACATGAACCCGTTGAAAACATCGTATACTTTGTGCTACGTTCAACAGGACGTTCGCAGCAATTGCGAAGTCAATGGCAAAATCATCGAAGATTTTGATTCGACTGGCAAGACTGTACTATTGGATAATTTACGCCCGAGAACTAACTACGAGGTGAGACTGCAGGCGCATTTGGGCGAACAATCGAGTTTATTTTCGCACTCATTTTTTATATCAACTCCGTCCGATGGTAAGTAATATTTAAAATTTAAGAAGATATGTTATTTTAGTTGCGACTTACAGTACCAAGCGAAGTACAGGGGCTCGAATATAAAGTATTAACACGCACGTCAGCATGCGTCAAGTGGGCACCTCCATCGCATTCAAATGGCAGAATCATAAAATATTCTGTCCGACATTCGATGAATTTGAGTCTTTCGGTAGAAAATTGGATTCAAAGTAGTATCCTTATGCCACGCAGTAATGATGTAAGTTGGGTTGTATGGAAGTGAATACTTAGTTAATTAATAAACTGTTTTTAGGGTTGCTGGGATTACGATTCCGACGAAATCGTAATTTCCACCGTTCTTCATGGTCTGGATCCGGATCAGTCGTACTACGTAAAAGTTTTTGCTGTGAACGATGCAGGAGACGGAAGCATCACGAAACCGCTCACGATCAACACCAAATATCCGTTTGATGGTGGCTTTGTGGCTCACGATGAAATTGAGGGTAGAAAAGCGACTCAAAATGACATTTACTTTAGGCAGGGTGTTGGTAAGATTAGTTCTAAACAACGGAATTTTAGTGTTTTTTTACAATGAGTTTATTTTATAGGTATTGCCATAGGTATTGGGATAGCATTTATTGGCATATTTGCTTGTTTCGGAACGTTTATCATCTTTAAATATCTCAAACGACGGATGTTGTCAAATCGAAGGTTTGCTCAGAATGGGGGATCTGCGACCAGGCCCAAACAAGTCAACGGCCAACGCTGTCACAATGCTCACGAATTGCAACAGTTGGTAGAATCTAACGGAAACGGTCATATTTCAATGCTACCGACAACTATTCTGGACACGAAGGTAAATGTATTTTATTACGGAAATTGCAGTAATTTTATGCTTACATCATTAAACGCAGGGTGGTGCAGAATATCCAAATGGTATTTACTTGAACGGGCACGCCACGAATTTAAGAATTACAGAAAATCCTCAAGTAAAGTTTTCATAATTCTGAACTAATGAACAAAAATAATTTAACTTGGTGTTTCTATTGCAGTACTATAAGAAAGCTAAAAAACAGGTTGATGAATTGAGCACGTTACATAGCAGTGACCGAGAGTATGAAGAAGATTCCAATTCGAATCTGCAAAAGGTGTGCCCGATAACAAAGTCAGGATGTGCGAATGGCAATGGCACACTAAAAACAAACGGTGTCGACACGAATTACACCTTGAATTCGACACAATCCACAGTTTTACTAAATGATTCTGTTTCATCCGCGTCATCGCTTCGACAACCCACGCTCGAACCGAATGGTTGAAGCACAGGGCGACTGTAAACGTATATATAGAACAATTGAAAGTGGACAGAAAGAAACAATCAAACGTGGCGGGTCGAGCAATTGCAGCTATAAACGATGAAAAAACGACTGAGCAGTATTTCAATGTTGATATTGATAATAAGTTAATGATTTGCCTCGTGCAGTAGCTTTAAACATTTACAAGTTGTTTTGTTTCAATTTTTATTACGAAAACTGGTGGCTATGGTTCTATGTTTTGGTTATAAGTTAACTGTTAGTTTATTTACTATTTTACCACACACACAAACTTGAAACTTTACCGAACTGCCAAAAATAGTTTGCAAGATGAAAAGAACAGCACAAACAGCTGTACATACAATATTATTAGCATAAAATATCCCAGTACCTGAATTAAGAATTAATTAATGACTATGATAACTGGTATTACAGCGTGTAGATTAGTTAGGTGTTAGGCGACGATCCATTTAATGTTTGTACATACATAATTATCGTAAAACACAAGACAAGGTTTGAAAATCATGAAAAATGACAAGACTGGTAGGAATGAATTTTATCATCAATACATCGAATATTTCAAATTTACAAAAACAAAACAGCACTTGGATGATACATTTTACATTTAATGAATGGTTAATGTTTTGAAAATTATTGACATGAATGTTTGATGTAACTTCTTGGAAATGACTTCATACTTTCGATTCAATTTATTACCATGCGACACAAACCAATACGAAAAAACTTTCGATAAATTTCGGACGTGCTTGAATTTTTATGAAATATTCACACTCTTAAAACCTGTGCCTTTCTCGTACAAAAACACAACAAACAAAACTGACTTTTTTTACAACGACGATTGTTAAGTTACCAATTTTTTATAGTTTGTCGCTCTCTGCTGCGCGAAATATTCGTTACATTCCTCTCTCGACTTGAGGGTTGAGGGCTTATCTGTTACCAAACTTCAGTCTTACTTAAAAGTTGCACACGTAAAGCAAAAGTACATTCCGCACGTTAGTTTTATCCGGTTTACCACGATACAAAATATCTACCTCGATTTTGCAACTACCCACATACGCACGTACACACTGTCGAGAACTTTGGAACTTTCCTGTATTTGTACAAACGAATAATTTTTAAGTTTTTTTATATATGTATATTTACGTTTTATTCTCAGGGTGTCTTATTACCGCTAACTACTTAGTTCTTTTTATGTTGTTGCACGAAGTGTAAACCACTAAACCAAATCAAACAACCAGACAAAGATCACAACAGAAGCTCCTTACATGTTGAATGTTTAACTAGAGTGTGTGTATTATATTTGAGAGGGGAAACTGAGTTTACAAAGTTTTTAGTTCCAATTTTTGTTAATATTATTTACAAGCCGCAAACTTATTGAACTTGAAAGAAAAATTGTGTTTTTATTTTATTTGCAGTAAGATTTTATATTGTATTTGGAACCAACCTGTTAATTATTTATACAATGTATAATTATATTGTACATAATGCAAAAAAAGTGTAATTGATTGTTTTTATATTGCTTGTGCTATATTTATTGTGGTCTCGTTTCGATGCGCGCTCTTCAATCCCGACATATACGTAAAACTTACTGCGCATACTTCGCGCCAGGCGGAAAGACTTTCGATGCACGTGGCTGTTGTAGTCGCGGGTGTCGACATGTTTTATGTGAATTTGATTCGGCATCGGTTGAAATACAATTTAATAGTTCAATAGTTAATTACACAAACCTAGCGTTGTCCTTTTGTGTTATTACATATTATTTAAAATTGCTTAAGAAATTCAATCAATTGTCACGTCCAATCTTGTATCGACGATATGTGGCTTCTACAACCCACATCAGTTAAAGATCGAATGGTAAGTTTATAAGTGAATAAGTAAGTATTCTTTGTCCTTTTTCATATTTTCAAATTAAATCTTTGGAACATCATCGTACAGCGCGTTTGTATTTTTTTTAAATTTCAATGTCTTCTATTTACCTCGGGCATTTTAAACGATATGCAGATTGGACTTCTCTCCATGCTTATCAGTAAAGTGTGTAAGCAACTTTTTTCTACTTCCACCTTTATAGCGTCAACTGCTGCACGGTTCTTAGAACCACAAAGTAGTGCTCCGTAGGCAAATGCGCAGGCACAAGCTCCGCCCCGTACGTAATGTCCACTTTTAGTGGGTAAAAAACGTGGAAAACTGGCGCTTTATAAATGGAAGTAGAAAAAGATGTTTAAATGTAAGTTACAGTTGCGGTTTCGGCTGAAAAACCAGTTTCGGTCGGACTCAAGTAAATATGTGTCTGGATAGTTTAGCGGACTGCTAGCAGTTTTGGACCGATTGTCAGCTGAAACGGTGGCTGATCCGCGTTCTTCACTCGGTCTGCAGATTCATTTGTTCTTATTTCGATAGTTGTATTGGTATATCATCATTTTCTACTACATAAAAATAAGTTGGGTTTTCCTTCCTGACGCTATAACTCCAGAACGCACCAACCGATTTCCACGGTTTTGCATTCGTTGGAAAGGTCTCGGGCTCAGCAAGGTTTATAGTAAAGAAAATCAACAGAAAAGAAGTAGGAATGATTGCGCCAAATCGATCGATGCACGATGCATTCAACCAAGAATTAAAACGAGAGCTGCGATACAATGTTGATACATTGCAGGAATTCGTTCGAAATAATGTGCCGTCGCTGAAAGAACAGCAAAAACCAGTATACTAAACATAAATGCAAGCGGTGGACAAAAATACTGGTGGTCTATTCTTCCTGGAAGCACCTGGAGGAACAGGGAAAACATTTGTCATTTCATTGATTTTGATCACTTTTCGATCGAGATGTGACATGCGACTCTTCCAGATGCAGATTCTGCGCTTAAGTTGATTTTTCGGTCGAAGAACAGGGTCGATTTTTTTGGCGATTATGTCAAGAACAAAAAGGTCTACGAAAAACGAATGCATTTTTCTCTAAAATTGTAAATAGGGTATAAACAGTTAATGTTAGTTACTAAAATAAACGATGTAGAATTAAATTATCTATCAGAATCCGATTAAAAATTTAATAAAAATTAATAGTTCCATGCATAGTCTGAGTACAATTCTTCTCATGTTTTGCACCACCACACTGAAAGTATCAATGTTTAGGTACAAACAAACAAGTTTCTTTATCTCCTGCAGTTTTGTGCGGTCGCCACGCAGTTGGCGTGCGTACCACGTTAGTCTCATTTTTGTCGGCAGGTAATCTGGACGCACATTTTCTTTCTCTCAATATTTAGAGTTTCTTCATTTTTTGTCGCGTTATGTATCATACTGTTTCTAAATGCTCCTTCGATTGTGCGCGAGTGATATGCGGCGTTCTTTAAGCCCGGATTGTACATACGCAGAGGTAAAGCGTGAGTGATGTTCCGTCGGCCGTCGGATACTCTTTTTGTACCATACCCGTATTTCATATTTATTTCGTATTTTCTTTGCATATGCCAAACGCGCCAAAATTTATTTTGCATCAAGGTATGTTCTCGCATTTCTTCAGCCATATGAAAATCAAATCCATTATTGACTTAACTTGTTTTTACTTCAACCGCGTGGTCTTTAACCACACAAATAATTTTGTCTCTATTTCAAATCCTACCGTTGTTCTTCAATTCGATACATTGTTTCGTTTTCGTTTAATGTACAAATTAAAAAGATTATGATTGTCGTGTGCCGTCGGTTGCGTTCTTAATTCTTTGGCGGCTCTTTCCGGCAATTTTTAATTCCCAAAATAAGAAAGAGAAATCTTTTGCCTTTTTTATGATGAAATCTTCTTTTCAGCTAGTGCAGCTTTTGAAATAATTGAAAGATTTAAATATTTAAATTGAATATTTAAGTAATGATTTTTCTATCATTGACGGTTTAGGCCTTATTTGCAATTTTAATTTAAAAAAATGATTTTTACGTGACAAAATGGCTTTAATCTTCAATTGTGTTACATGTTTCCGATTTAAAATTTAATATACTGTCTAAAATCAAAAACAGAATTCAAAAATTCTAATTATTACAGAATCTGTATTTGTTGAAATAAAATATTTCGTTATAAAAAAGTCAAAAGATTTCTCTTTTTGATATCTAATGCAGTTTTCACTAAAATTTGCAAATAGGGCCTAAACGGTTAATCTTAGAAAAAAAAGTTACGAAAATAATCGATGTAGAATTAAACGAACTGTTTAAGTATTTATTAACCTAACATTAAACGTTTGGGGCCTATTTGCAAATTTAATTTAAAAAATAGGTTTTTACACGCCAATAGGGCTTTAATCTATAATTTTGTTACTGGTGTCCGATTAATAATTTAATCGAAATTAAAAGTTTCATGCATTTTACAATTGCAATTCTTTTCATGTTTTGCATTACCACACTGAATTTTTGTGTATTTATAAACAAACAAGTTTCCTTCTCTCGTGCAATTTTTGTGCGATCGGCACGCGGTTCGCCTCGCGGTTGGCTTGCCTACCACGTCAGTCTCATATTTATCGTCGAGTTGTCTGCACGCACATTTTCCCAACAAAAATTTGAGTTCCTTAATTTCTCCGCGTTATTACGTAATATTTCTAAACGCTCCTTCCAATGTGCGCAAGTGATGTGCGGCGTTCGTTAAATGCGAATTGTTTATACGCAGAGGTAAAACGTGAGTAATGTTCCGTCGGCCGTCGGATACTCTTTTTGTATGATACGCGTATTTCATCATTTCTACAATGTGAATAATTAAGGTCCTTACAATTTATTGGATAGGCCAAAAGCGCAAAACTTAATTTTGCATCAAGGAATATTCCCGCATTTCTTAAACCATTTGAAAATCAAATCCATTATTGTCTACTTGTTTTTACTTCAACTGCGTGATCTTTAAGCCTACAAATAATTGTTGTCTCTATTTCAATACCATTGATTTGCATTACGTATTTGATACCTTGTTTTGTTTTTGTTTAATGTACAAATCAAAAAGATTAAAATAGTCGCGTGCCGTCGGCTGCGTTTTTGATCCTCTGGTGGCTTTCCGGGCTAGTTGCTGGTTGTTTTACATGATTTAAAATAAAATTTTGCTTTGTGCTTTATTTTTGTAATATCCAACCGATCACTTTTTCTTCATATCCAAAGAAAATACAATTTTTGAAATGTTCTATTTTTATCTTTTCTTACTTTTCACTTTTCTTTGATTTCCGGTGTAAACATATTGATTTTTTAAAATTCGTGATGGTTTTCTTCTTATATTATCTTGTTATTGTCGCCTCGTTAATTGTTTTTATCCGCTTTCCTTCTTAAATCTTAATTTTTCTTTGTGTATCATCCAGTAGATATATTTTCCTTATCATTTCATAGACCATATTTATTAGTGTTTGAGCGTTTTACTTTTAAAACTTAGAGTTTTCTTTTGTAACACCCTGTATATTAATTTCTCGTGGTCTCAAAATGGGAAAGATATATGTTATCCTACTTAAACTTAGGATTTTCTTTTAAAAAATTGTAGTTTTCTTTTTGTATCACTCTGTATTATAAGTTCCTGTAGCGGGTTTTTTATAACACCCTGTATACTAATTTCCCATGGTGAATTTGTCAAAAGGGGAAAGATATATGTCATCCCACTTAAACTTAGAATTAATCTTTAAAATTTTGTCTTTATCTTTACATCACCCTGTATATTAATTTCCTTTGATTTTACTTTGTGGTTTTAGATATATAATTTCCTACTTGAATTTTGCATTTTCTCTTTATGTTATTATATTATTTTCGCCACACCCTGTATAATAGTTTTCCGTAATTGCTGCCAAAATTATGCAAAATTTGTTAGTATTATATGTTTTTCTTTGATATTTTTACTCTTGGTACTTGTCTGCATGTACGGGGCTATACTGCTCTTATAACTATATTCAAAATGGCGGCGCATATATTGTTTTGTATTATATTTTACAAGTTTTCATTGTGCACATGTTTCAATAAAGAAATGTTAAAAGTGACTGTGTCTCCTATGATTTGTGTGTACTCCTTCTATCATTTCAGGTACAGGTCAAAACTTGTAAAAATATTTTTGAGTGTTGCCTGACTTGAGACGACATAAAGTCCTTAATGTCCTTATAAGGAATTCTCCCACTTGGGGGATGATCCCCACCATGAAAATTGTTGATATGCCTGAGTATCCTGGGGATGAAGCGTAGAGATATCGCAGCTGTAGGATGGGCCGGAAGCAATGGACGGACCGAAGCAGTGGGCTGTTATAGAACGACACGCCGCCAAAAAATTTAAAAATCTAACCCACCTGTTCTCTTTCTTCTATTCTACTCCTCTTTCCTACTACTCCCTGTTTCTCTTCCTTCTATCTTCTTCTCCTTTTTTCTGTTCTCCGTTTACTTTCTTACTTCTCATATTGCCTTCACTTGTATTTCTTGTATTTCGTTAGAATTCATATATGCAACCCACATTGCACCATTTATTTTTATATTTGAGAAAAGTGTCTTCGATAACTAGGGATCGAACCATCGATCTAAGATTCTAAGGCATGGTAGCATGTGCTGCACACCTGAAAGCCACACGGCTTACTTATTAAGTCTTATTTGTTTCTTCTATTCATGCTTTCATATCTTACAGTATAATAAATCTACAGTGTAAATATAATGCACTGTACTATACTATGATATCTTGTGGTGTCCTCTTAGAATTCAACTTGATTTAATACTAATCGAGAAAACGACTAACTCAACACTAGGGACACATGTAAGCAATAATGTAAAATTAAAGTAGCCTTTATTGACTGAATCATTTTCAATTATTATAAAGCAATAACATGGTGTAAGATTTAAAATGTTAAATAAAAGTAAAATCTTATTTGATGCTACTTACTCCTTTGTTTTTCTATCAATAAAGGATAAGGCGCACAAACACGTTTCCGCAAATTGTATGTAGAATTGATGATACGCACTTCTTTACTATTCCACGCAGAGATTCTAAATGTATTCACGTTAAACACATAAAGTTAAACTTCATAACTCCATTAACTCCAGTAAGTAGTCACCGGAACATACCCGACGGACGCCACGCGCGCTCTGCAAAGAATCACTTAAATCATTCGTTGTGCGCTGCAGTGGGCTGTTACTACTAAGTGCCCCTGATTGTCAATCGATTTAAGTAATGCTACAAAATATCAAGAATCGCGAGAAAGTGTCACCACGTTTGATTAATCAACAAAACACGTGTGCACTCGCAACAGCGCTCAACCGACTAAGGGTGCATTCGCGTTGGACGCTTACGCGCTGTGAGCGCTCACGCTTATAAGCACAAATTTTTAGTGTTCGAGATGGCCTATAGGCGCTTAGAATCAATAAATAAATTTCGTTCGTTTTGGATATTGTGAGAGTCAATAATCATCAACATGGCAACTGTTTATCAAATAATAAATAATTTATTAGAAATTATCGATGATGAGTCTGATGATAGTGATGAGTTTGATATGATTGAAGATAGTGATAATGACATGGAATGGGAGTATTGTAATACTCATTTGAACTACAATTTAGAAATAAATGAAATTTTTTGGTTAGCTTATGCTCAAGTTGCATTCGTTTTGACAGATAATAAAAATTGGCGCTCACGCTTTCGCTGCCCTACCTCTGTGGCGTGAGCATAAATGAGCGCGAAGTCTGTGCTACGAACTCAGCCATGAGCGTACTTATGTGACACTCACAGCGCCAAGTCGAACGATGAAAATGACATGTAAGCACGCTCACAGCGCGTAAGCGTCCAACGCGAATGCACCCTCTGTCGAACAAAGCAAGACAGATTGATAACCGACCCGCAGTTGGACGGGCATTTTTCTATATGCATACGACAGGAATGCGATGTTAAAAGTATACAAATATGTTACAAGTTATTGTTAAACATAAAAATTGTGTATAAAAGTGACGTACGCACCGCAACTCAGCGCACAAAAAACAACCACAAAAATGAAGTATGAATTTAAACCAAATCGATGGAAGCGCCATCTGACCGTAGCGGAACAAAACAAAATAGACAGCTGACACTAGCGCGATCTGGGTGTGACAGAACAAAACATTAAAGATATTCGGCGTCATCAAGTTTTGAAACTTTGAAATTACCCAGAAATCTGCAATACGCCTGCTAATATTTAACATTTAATTCACTTTCCATTAACGAAATTTATTTGGCATGTAATTAAACGAACTTTATTTTTTCGATTTTTAACTTGTCAATTCATTAAATGCACTTATAATTAATGTTTGCACTTAAAAATACAGAACTGAACTTAAAAATAAATATTTGCACTTTGAAAAATGAATTCCACTTGAATAAAATGCTTTCCACTATGAAATTAATACTTTGCACTTATAAAACTTGCTGTATGAAGTACGTGCCGTACTCTTAGCCGGCCCCTTCTATCCCCCCCACCGCCCCTCAAATAATACCAAACAAGGTAGCCTACCTAACCACCACCCCCAACCCCCAACCGACAACCACCTCCTCCCCACAACCCCCAACCACCCCACAAATAATACCAAACAAGGGAGCCTACCTAACCACCACCCACGACCACCCCAACCCCCACAAATAATACCAAACAAGGTAGCCTACCTAACCACCACCCCCAACCCCCCGATTTTTAAGTGCAAACATTAATTATAAGTGCATTTCATGAATTGACAAGTTAAAAATCGAAAAAATAAAGTTTGTTTAATTACATGCCATTATAAAGTTTCAATTTAAAAAGTTGATTCAAAGCAAATTTAAGCTTAAACCTGAATATATAAGTGCATTGTATTAAAATATAAGTTATACAATCTATAGTGCATAATATGAATTTCTTAGTGCAAAGTATGAAAACTTAAGTGCGGCTGTTCAAGTGGATTGTATTTTAACTAAAGTGCATTTAATATATCCCCAATTTATTTACGAAAATTATAAACAAGTTCAATACTTACAATCTGATGAAAAAATCGTTGTCCTAAGACATTTCGTTCACCCGCTAGACACCTAAAACTACCAAAAATCAGTACATCGAAATACAAAAATTATCTTTTTGCAAGTTTCCCGTGTGCTAATCACATAAATTATAAATGTAAATGATATACCAATTCAACACTTACAATCTGATAAAAGAATGGTTGTCCTACGACATTTCATTCGGCCGTTAGACACCTAAAACTACCAAAAATCAGTACATCGAAGCACATAAATTATCTTTTATCAGATTTACCGTGTGCTAATCATACAAATTATAATCATATCAAAAAGTATGAAATTTTATTATAAAAAATTTATCGACGGACTAATCGTCGTATGCGTTGCAATTAGAATTGCGTTCCTTAAGACGCCTTCGAGAGCGTGAACAGTTATAAATAGTAATTCTACTTAGATAATTAAGGTATTAAGGTATTAAGGAATCAAAGACAAAGAAAATGTGGAAGATCTATATCAAAAAAATCCCAACAATTTTACCCTTCTAGTAAAAAATGCACCACCAAATTTTCGAATTTACCCATGTTGCATAAACAACTTCTGCAACAAACTAATACAACCCCATGGAGAATTTAATTTGACATTTCTAGAGATGCCCTCTTCTCGAATTAAAGGCAAACAACTACCAAATGCTAGAGACGGTAACATGCAACAACTCTTCTATTACATCAACCCTTAATTGACAGATAAACATTTATCTGAAATGACTTTTGAATTCTTCATCTGAATTACAATTAATTACATTATCGTAATCAAAAACACATAGTCAAAGTTTTCTAGTTTCACGATTATAATTTGGTACATTTTGCGCGCAGTAAAGAAGTAAAAAAAAACGAGACCAGAACGATAATAGACCAAGAGCCCGTGACGGCCAGACTTTCGTCATTTTAGGAAAGATGAAATTTTGTCTATGTGTGTCTCCAATACAGGTAAGAACGATCCCCAATTATGAAACCTGGATCGTGGTTCCTTTGGCAGTTAACAGCCAACAAAGATGTACAAATGATGACCTCAAATTCGTTTTTTTAGCAAACTCCATTTTTACATATTTTGTTCGTAACATTATTACAACAAGCGTTGCTCATTGCCAGACACCTGGTATGGTTCCAACCCTAGCCAGACACCTCTAAACTATAATATTTTTTAACTTTTTTACTTTCGTTATACCTATTAGGAAAGCTGAATTTGATACACATAATGCAGAGAGCAATGAAACTGTGTTTTCTTGTACGCCAGACAGTTTGGTCGGTTCTATCATCTTGCCAGACGCATTGAAAGTGTATAAGAGTTGCAAAAGTTAAATTGTTTAAACATGAAATTTTCACATAATAGTAATTTTATTTGAACAAATCTTTATTAATTTTCATCATTGTTCTCGATACCGCGACTGAAAGTGCTCAAAAGTGCAATTTTTCAATTTTTGACGTTTTATTTCAATTGCTAATATCTTGTAAACTAAAGGAAATAGAAAGGAACGAATCGCAAAGATTTCGGCGACAGTGATGATTATTATTAAATATTTGTTAAAATAAAATTACTATTCTCTGAAAATTTTAATTCATTTTAATGACGAAAGTCTGGCCGTCACTGGCTCTCGCTCTATAATGTTCGTTTGAAATTATTTACTAGTTATTTCGATTGACGGTAAATGTCAATTAAGAGCACGCGCGGCTTGCAGTAACGCGGTTGACCGAATCAAATTATTGCCGATAGCAGCGCCACCTATGTGCAAATATTTATCTTCTAAAAAATCCAAATCATTTCACACAATCCACAAAAATTTCAAATTTTTAAATTAGTTACTGACAATGCCCTTGACACAAAATATGTATACTCAAAAAAAAATGTAATTCAATTCACATGCAATTTTAAATAACTATAAAAATAATAATTTCAATACGTTCAAGCTTATGCAACTATAATACTTCATATTTCCATGATTTACAAGACAAATATAAATAATATTTGATCCCGAAACTCAAATTAACCGCATATAACAAAAACTGTACCACAAACTACATATACTGTTAAAAAATTTTTGAAAGATTTTATGGTGGTAAATTCCTAGGGTTTTAGGTGCCGTTGTCACTAGACCAGTGGTAACAGTGATTTTGAAGGTCAAACTATTCGAGCAAGATTTCCGCGCTGTGTGTATATGTATTTTAATGTCAAAAACATTGCAAACGGTATTATTTGAAACAATTCAACGTAGACAGTCTGTGATACAAGTATTTTAACATAAACTTAGCGCGAATTTTCACTTCAAGCACGCCAATTCACACCATCGCCGCCACAATGTCCAACAAATTCGATGCGTAAGTACACCATACGCCGCGATCCATGCGTAACCCCCAATGCACCAAGTCGCTCACACACAATGTGTTCTCGCGCACGAGGAGTCCGCAGATGCATTCGAAATTGCATTACACCGGCTTGTAAACACCACCCACCCAGCACGCACTTTTCATTCATCATTGGTTTGTTTCTGATTGTAGGCTCAAACAAAACACAGAAAGCTCGGACAGCGGTAGCGGCGAAGATGACATGAACAACGGCCTTTTAGACCTGGGCCCCGTTGACTACCCACCTAACGAGCACCGACTGCAGCACGCCTATTGCTTGTGGTACTCACGGCGGCCCAATTTATCAGCGCGAGCCGCAGCGGGCCAGGGTTACAGCTCACAAGGATACAGCCAAGCTTTGCAGCTAGTTGGGCAGGTGGCAACTGTGGAGCAGTGGTGGGCTCTATACAGTCACATTATTAGACTGCATGACCTACCACTGCATACTGACCTGCATCTCTTTAAAAAGGGTATTCAACCTATGTGGGAAGACCCTGCTAATAGTAAAGGTGGCAAGTGGGTGATTCGCGTGCGAAAAGGGCAGGCGAGTCGTGCATGGGAAAATCTTTGTATGGCTATGTTAGGTGAACAATTTATGGTGAGAGACCTTTAAATATTCATAGATTTCAGCTATGTTCATGGAATTATCTGAAATTTTCATATCTCTAAGCCTATTTAGTTGCGAATTTTCCTGTAAATATTCTACTTTAAGCGCTAATACGGAAGTAAACCTATAATTAACAACGTTATTTAATTCTAGGCTGGTAATGAAATTTGCGGTGTGGTTGTCTCAGTCCGATATCAAGAAGACCTGCTGAGCATTTGGAATCGCACCGCCTCGGATCAAATAACCACAGCTAGAATTAGAGATGCTCTCAAACGATTACTTAATTTACCTCTCAACACCACCATGGAGTACAAAACGCATAATGATAGCCTCAAGTAAGTTCCCACTCAACACGCGCCTTGCGCATCGCTCAAGCAATTTAAATCTGATTTAACACTCTTATAAATAATTGTTTTATTTGATTTTATTTTTCCCGTCCAAACTAATTTAATAAAACCTCTTTTTAGATATTAGTCCTGATCTTCCGCAAGCTAGCTACCTTTTAATATTTGATTTTGTTTTCTTCCAAAGTATTTGTACTCACTCCTAAGAAATAAAAGCGTTAACATCGATCGAAATCAAATACTTTTGGGTATTGCTCATTGTCTGTTGTGCTTTTTCAAGGGCTTGGAAGACAGTTCCGACTCCGACAAAGAGTTGATCGAGGTTTTTCAAGCATTTGACCAGATAGAGAATTTTATCGCTATGCCATTGTTAAACAAGAAACTGTATATTACGTTTACTTATATATACTTTATTTGTGTCAATAAATTTTCAATTGAATCTAGGGTTGGTGTAGTACATTGCTTTTAACTTTAAGATCGCCAAACGTATGCTAAACCGAGAAACTAAACGCTTAAATTTTTATTTACATTTAATAAATAATTAAACCTGAAGATTTAGCCAGTGTGCGCTTGAGAAGCATCAAATAATTGATCAGCAAGTTTTAAAATGTCTTTGTGATCTTCGCAATGCTTAACTAAGTTCTCGCTAATTATTTCTTCGCCGTAATATGCGCCCGTTATTGCACCAGCCATTGACGCAATGGTGTCGGTGTCACCACCCATCGCACATGCGTATTGAATTGCACGGCGAAAAATATTGTCACACTTTAAAATACATGAAATAAATGCAATTTGTATATAAAGCTACCAGAAAACAAACTTACCTTGACCTCAGGAAAGCCAGTGTGCGCCTTAAGGAAACAATATATTGCAGTTGGCACAGAATATAGTGCATTCACGGTGTTACCCAGCACCCCGATGATTTCCTCAATTCTAATGGGATCGTCAGGTTTGTCAGCTTGCAATAATTGTTTAATCATCTGCAGTTGAGTTTTGTAAGGGAAAGGATCTTCATCACTATTTCTGGACCTATTTTTGGACACAATAAAATTAATTTCATTCAATATCTCATATTATCAATATTGTAGAACGTACGGTACATTACGGTCTTCAATTTGCTTCATTTTTTCATCTAAATCTGCCAAGAACTTGTAAACATCTAGAGACACTTTTGGATCAGCCTGCAAACTCTGATGAACGGCAATACATTGCAACAAAGCCCCATTTATACCCAGCAGGTGTGTATGTGTAATCTCTGTTGATTTCTTTGCTGCTTCCACCATTCCAGCATAATTGTTGTGAAAATATAATGCAATAGGACTTATTCTCATAGCACCTCCATTTCCAAATGATCCAGTCCCATTAAACTGCTCTTTGGCAGGCAAATAAATATCAACAAAATTGGTGTGCTTTAATTTCTTGAATGTTTCAACAACATTATGCCCATATCCACGCTTGGGTTCCTTGAAATACTCTTGGACATATAACTGAGCCATGTACTTGTAGTCAACAGCAGGTTTGTCAATCAGTGTTTGAGCAGTTCCTTTTGTCATCACAGTATCATCTGAGTAAGATCTGTATGGAGCTTGAAGAATACCCAATATATTACATTTGATTTAAGTTTTGTTAATATGTATGGAGACTACATTACATTTAAAATAAGGTCCATCTAGTTTATCAAAACACTTTTGAACTGTGTTTATGATGCCATGTGTGAATTCATCACCTTCAAATGGTCCTCCAAGGCAGTCACCGACGAGGGACCCCAGCATCGACCCTCGAAACTTGGTTTTTAAAAGAATATTATCAATTTTCGCCATTATGTACAACTGTGATTACTTGAATTGCGACTTAGAACATTAAGGTTAGGTGATTTGTTGAACCGGTTATATAAATATAAATTTGAAATTTGCGCCAATTTTTGTACCGTGGTACGTGCCAAAATCGTCAGTTACAAATATCTATCAATAAAACTAAAACAATAATCTGCTGTTAAGATTTTCTTTATTGCTTGAATTGAGTTTAGATTGTTCGTAACAATATTACAGTTTGCGTTCAAAATTAATCGGTCATCAAATTGCTATTTTACAATGGTTCGATATAAAATACGCCACACTATTCAGACAATAGTTTTCATTCAATCTAATCTCTTGAAGTTCGTATTACATTTATAAATTTGGCAATTCCAAACTTACCAAATTAGTTAAATCATTTTTATTTTTATTCATTTTTTTTGCTTTTTTTGTTTTTCTATGAAACATTTACTCATATTTACAAGTTTTATATTCTACATACATCTTTAAGAAACATTTTTTTGTATATATTTTTTCAGATAGTTTTTAAACTTTTTTTAATTTGCACAAATTTCCCATGTTTTTCTCATCGACGCGCACGTCTTTGTTATCGAACTAAAAATATTACTAAATAACATTGCATTATCATCTTTCTGGCAGTACGCTCAAATAAGATCGATAAATAGATAGATAAACGTTAACAATTATAAACAAGTAACACAATTATTTCAATGAAGAAATGTTGTTGCTTTGCAACACGAGTAAATATTGTCAAGTTACTTTCATTAATTTTTCTTTTTTCTGCTTATTCATGGCACTCGTATGAATCGAATTTCGTGTAACGAGGTCTAATTTTTGCTCACGCAGTGTGTTTTTTACAAAAGGGAAGACTACATTTGCCCGACATACATCTACGCGTTGATTTTGATATGTAATTTTGATTAGTTTAATTCACAAGTCGAATTCGATGCAGAAAAACATCACCCGGGTGGTGTAGAGTAAACAATTTATTGTCATTTTTCGAATAATAAAAAAATCGCGAATCAACAATTTAGATCAGAACGAAATGTTAACAAAGTGTAAAACATAAATGACCGATAAAATCTTGTGTTAAATCGCCGTTGTTAAATTTAAATGTGACATCGCAAATTGTCTGCTCCAACCCGATGCCTTTCCGATACACCTTGTATATAAAAATCTCTATCAAATTACCGTTAGCAAAAACTCAGAGTATTAAATTATTATCACAACAAAACGAAATAAATAAAGCCACTTACGCACTTCCTTTCCTCTCTCTATTTTTTCTTCTTCTTTTTTCTACGTTAAATGTATATTTTTTTATTGTGGTAAGTGAAGAAAAAATAAATAAATAATAAATAAAATACTGATTCTTATGTGACAAATCCAATGCAACCAGCCCGGGCTTTTTATAAATATCACCAAATGGCCGACGCACTAAACTTCAATGGCACTCTTCGAAAGTGAAGGCAAGTAAAGTAAAGTTTGAACAAACAAACAAGAAGAGAAGCCGCCTTGCTAATCAATGGCGGAAAATATTACCTTAAACAATTGCTCAAACGCAATTAATCTTCAAAGACTCACGTGAATCTTCAATCACTTGGAATGTGAATGATTTAAACACTTTCACTCATTTTCTTCTTAATTCTAAGGTTTTGTAGCAAGTGTTTTTCGTTTAAATCAATTTGGCACGAGATCCTTCCTTGGATTTTGGTATTGCTTTTATCTTTGGTTCGTTTGCGTGTTCCTCGGAGAGCTGATGGGACTCGCGTGATTCGCCTGATTCACATAATTTGCATGATTAACGTGTGATGGAGTGAGATTAATCTGCGGAATATGTAACGGCACAATGGTAGAGAGATCTTTGGTTTGTACAAGCATCTCGTAAGAGCCGCGAAAGATGCTCTTTATGTGCTCGAATGTATTCACATCATAAACACAGCGAGCTGTGTTGGTGAGATCAAATGGCTCCTCGATGCAAAGAAGCTTCCATTGTGTAACATCATTTTTCGGTGCGCGTACGAAACGACACTCATCTTTGGAGACAACTCTACCCTCGCGCACAGACATTGCAAACTGGTTGTAATTGAACGTGCTGAAATAATGCAAAAACCCGAGGAACAGTTCCCCGAGTGACTGCCTATTATCAGACAAGAACGGAGGCAGCTCCTCTTGCAAGTCCAACGAGTGGATCTCCACGTTCGGGCCAAAACGGTCCGGGTAGAGAACTTGCAAACATGGAATTGCTGGAGGATTAACACCGCCTACACATAAAAATCAGTAAACACATAGTCCCTAATGTGATCAAAATGTAACTTACATTGCAAATAATGAAGGGTCATTAAAGCGAGCGAGTAACTATTGATAGTCATTCTCTTCGCGTCGTTAATATCATTTGCTTGGGCCCACACCTTGACGATGACGACCATTGGCCGTACACGCCAGTCCAACCGAGCGTAAGCGTTCAACAAGTGCGTGTTGCGAATGCCCACGGAATTGTTACAGTTGAGGTCCACTTCAAAGCCGTACAACGCGTCCCGAAACTTCAAGATTGGCACTTTTGCCATAATAATCTCTGGGTCCTTAACAAAATCTAACACAACAAATATTTTACAAAATCGTTTTTAAACAGTTATAGTATAAGTAACTCACCACAGGTTTCAAGCAACTTGCAAATACTCTGTAGATGCGTCAATGCATCAGCACGAGGATCGATTAATCCAGGTCGAACCAACAGACACATATCTATATCACTACGGTCCAGACCGAGGCCGGACATTGTTGAGCCAACAAGGAACAAACCGTAACGTAACAATATTTGCTGTAAATAAAAATCTCATAACATCGTTACATTTATAAACGAATTCTAAAAGCGATTCTTACTTGAATACTTAAATATACTGATTTCCAAAACTCCAACTTCTTTAAATATGTGACTTCCTTCTGTGCTTTGTTTGAGTATACTTCCCAAATGTGCCTATTGAGCATATCAAACTGATTGCAGTGGATCAAATCAGTGGGATTGCTGGGTATAAAAAATATGTACGAACGTGCCGCAAAACGCTCCATCAATCCATACACACGCTTATGAATGTCTGACACATTAGCTGGACCTGACAGTTTCTTCTTGTCCTTTTTATGCCCTGATGAATAATATCTAAACAAAGCAATACAAAATTACATTTGATTGAATTACATTTACTTAATAATTTGCATGTATACCTTGGTTTGTAATAACCATTATTATTGTGCCCATTTGTAACAGTTGTGCTTCCATAAAACACACTAGGAGAACTATTACTAAATCTATTCCTAATCAATGGACTCTGCCCATAATTTGTACCATTCTTGGCCTCTTGCACCCTATTCATACCACCCTCTGCTACACCATTACAGCACAGACTCAAATCAGAATAATCCACACTGTGTGGTGGAGACAGCAACTTTCCTTCAGACCTTCTGTTGTTATAATAATTAGAAAACTTATTGTTATTATTATTGTTGTGATGCAATACAGTTGGAGCTTGTATGATATTCATGGGAGATTCCTGTAGCTTTTCCTGCTCTTCAGTACCTTCTATACTCTTTGATTGCAGATTGTTGTTCTTTGGTTGAGTGTTAGTGGAGAAGTCATTTCTATACTTGATGAGAGCTGTGTTGAAGGACTTCAGGTCCTCTGTGCACCTTTTCTTCAGGTAGCTCTGATCTGTCACATTGGTTTTCCTCCCCAATATTTTGTTACTCATGGTGAAGCTTTACTGTAATCAAGAAAAACACCACATTATTGTAACTTTGAATGAAATCCAATTAGAAGTGAGCAGTTTTTGCCATTTATGGGCATCAGAATGAAGTAACCTAATAAATCTTAACAGTGCCATTACTTTTTGCGCGGTTTATCTTCTTGCAGCGCCACTACAGCCCCAGGAATCGCTACGATGTGCACAAACCCTTTATGCTAGTACATTTTCCAGCGTGAACACCTTGAACATCGCTATCTAACGACGAAATGTGTTTCTTATCACTACAAATACGCGAAGAACTTAGCTAGCAAGCACACTTTTCCTGGCGTGCCGCCGTTAGCCGCCAAAATACGCTTGCGCCAAAAATAGATGCAAAGCGCACGCTGTCAGGCGATAACGGCGATAAGCGTAACTCGCAGATCTTCAAAATTTCTTAACACACTGAATGTCATCTTGTATATTACAAATTCAAGACAACCTTTGGATAGGACAACCGCGACAAAATATTTCAGCACGTAAATATTTATTCATGCAATTCGACGTATATTTTAATTCATTTGTCGGTTGATCATTTAAATTTGGTTATATGTAACTGGCGTTTTTATCGCACTGCAAACGAAAAGTTACGATTTGCTACGAGTGTGCTAACGGTTTGCAACAGTTGCAGTGCTTTGAAAAAGTATGCAACACACTATACACTGTGGCTTAAAATCACACAAATTAACACTAAACTTAAACGCATAAAAATAAAACGCGTGCGTTTCATAAATTACAATTACATAATTATCTAATAAATGGGAGTACTAATAAATTCAGTGATAAATAACCAATTTAAAGCGTTTCCCACACCTTCTTGATATGATTTGCTTGACAGCAAATGTCAAAGCGTAAATATTTTAACCTAAAGAGGAGTTCACGTTTTCACGTTAACACAAGAAAAAATAAATATTTTGCTCGAAATTTGATATAACTACGAATTTTTAAAAATGGGTTCGGGCATCGATTTTGCCAACAACCCGTTTTTCGTTCACGACATGCAGAAATTGTGCGCTGTGTGCAATAAGAAGGTTTCAAAGGAAAAACACTCCATTTATGATCCAATACCTAAACAATCTAGTAAAATTAACATAATAGAAGTGCTTGAATGCATTTCAGATGTAAGTTTTTCCATATTTTTATACCCAAATAATATAATTTTGTACCGACAAAAACAATTTCAGTATAACAACACAGAAGGTCCACAACATATTTGTACATATTGCTACCAAAACACAGTGGCAGCCTACAAATTCCGCCTAATGTGTAATATTGCACATGAAAAATTAAATAACTATTTGAAACATCAACAAGAAATGCTGCTGAAGCATATTGAAACTAAAGTAGAGCAAGAGGAAGAAGAAGGAGAAGAGGAAAATGTAAGTGAATCTCCAATAATAAAGGATGAAGAAATGGAGGATAATAAGGAAAGTTTACCTCAAAATGATGAGGAAAATTTAAAGACTCAAGATAATGACAATGAATCCAATGAAATGAAAACTGAGGACTCAGATGACATTCCGGATCATTCAACAGATACTAATATTGCACAGGCAGAGGAGGTGAAAGATAAAGATGACAAAGATGCAGAGGAATATGAATTGATGGAAATTCAGATAGTTGACAAGAAGAACAGTGCCAGCAATGTATCCACTAGAAGAACCACATGCAAAGTGTGTCATAAATCTTATAGGTCCGATTATATTCAAGTACATATGAGAATACACACTGGGGAGAGACCTTATCAATGCTCTGTGTGTAAGAAAGGTTTTGGGTAAGTTAATTTAATAAGTTTTAGTTAAAATTAATATGGTCATTCTAGTACTTCAACAACTTTAAAACTTCACGAAACTTCGCACTCTGAAAAGCGTGAATTTATATGCCGGTTTTGTGGCAATGGCTATAAATTGTTAAGAACACTACAAATACATGAAAGAGGGCACACTGGTGAGAAACCATTCAAATGCAAGTATGTTTAAAAAAATAGATATTTTTCTACAAAAATTAAACTTTGTTAAATCTTCAAATTAGGGATTGTGAATTGTCGTTCACAAGCGCAAGTCGACGAAAACAACATCAGCTAGTGCATTCAAAGGAAAAACTATTTACCTGTCATCTATGTGCCAAGTCTTTCACTAGACTGACTATCCTTAAGGATCATTTGAAGTCGCACGCTGGTGTAAAGGAGCACGCATGTCACATGTGCGGCAATCGCTTCACTCAGGCACATTCTCTGCGCCATCACCTGCAGAAGAGCTGTCGTGCGCAGAAGGAAGCCTTAGACTCCCTTCAGAATGAAAACACTGTCGAGCTGTATCTGGTTGAAACTGAAATAGAAGATGAAAAATTTGAACTGCGCATTTAAAACGAGCAGCCATTTTTAAACTGAGAGGTTCGTACATGGGTTGGTAGTTCCGTTTCCACTGTCCGCGGAAATTGACAGCGCATAACCGATTCACAGAAAATTTGCGTTGAAATTATCTGGAAAGAAAACGTTGATGTGATTTAATATTAAATAATCTTGAATTAAAGTCGTGCTGCATTCACTTATTTTAATTTGTAAGTGTTAATACAACAATACTAATGAATTTATACTTTAAAATTTGTACTCCCTAGTTCCATACTAAAAATGACATTTTCAATGTCCCTAGATTTTCAAAAACTTATTTATAAAGTTTTAATTCTTTATGTGTTTAGTTCACAGCTGTGTGTTGCGGATTGAAAAAATATGGACCAAATCTACATGGACCTTGCAAGAGGTTCTGTGAGTTTGATGGACTTAAAAGCCAAAATTCAAAGATTAGAATCATTCTCGAACGATGAAGTTCTATCATGGTCAATCCAGCTAAGTATGGATGAAATTGAGAATTGCTTAATAAACAATAAGGACACTCTTGTACGACTTGTTGACGAGAATGCAGCGTTAAAACGTCAAATTCAAATGTAAATTGTCACTTTAAAGAGTTTAAATGTTTTAAATGTTTCATGTAGTTTGCAGAATCAGTTGACAAATGGAGAATGGCTGAGCAAAACCTGTAACCTGCTACCAGAACTACAAAAACGCATCGAAGACATGAACAAAAAGCAGTAGAAATATTGTCGTCATCATTGTTAATAAATAATGACTGTTTTGTTATTAGAACGCAACCACATATTCGGTGTGATTGTTGGATGTCGCTGGCAACAGCGCTCCAGTCTGTCAATAAATCATTTCCTACTTAAAAAAACTGGAACTATTTTGATAAATTCATGATTACTGTGCCAAATTCGAGTGCCCTTTGCCCGCCGTCCATCAGGATACGTGCAAATCGTGTGCAAATTGCTGTAAACTACGAAAAATTCAATGCGCTCTGCCACGGCTGCCGACCTAACCTCGAAAAGTCATCAACAATAACATGAATGTGGAAGAAAATCGGCTACAGACGTTCGCCGACTGGCCTAGCGACGCACAGGTGAACCCCATACGCATTGCCAAGGCGGGCTTCTTCTACACTAAGGCGAACATCACGGTAGAGTGCTTTGCATGTCACCTAAGAATATGGGAATGGTCATATGGTGACCAAGCAATGGCCAAACACCAACAACTCAGCCCTGAGTGCCCCTTTGTCAAGGATCCTTCCACTTCAGGCAATGTTCCAAACATATCAATGCCTACCAACAGTCAAACAAATGAACCAAGAGAAGATTTACTGGATGAGGCTGCAAGACTTCGAACTTTTGCAACTTGGCCTGCAACTAACATTGTCACACCTGAAAGTCTTGCACGAGCTGGCTTCTTTTACTTAAGACATAACGACCTTACAAAATGCGCCTTCTGTGGTGGTATTGTAGGTACCTGGGAGCCAGGAGATGATCCCGACCGAGAACACACCCGCCACTTTCCTGACTGTGCGTTTGTTGTGAGTACGATAGAACCCCGCCTGGAGGGTAGTTCATCAGGTTCGATGCAGGATCTAGCAAATAGGAGCAATTTACCAAATATAAATTTAGTTAGAGACGGAAATTTGGCGGCGTTGGGAGTAAATACTCATAAGGGGCCGAAGAAACCAAAGTACGGCACAATGGAGGCGCGATTGACGACATTTGCGAACTGGCCTAGCGACCTGGTGCAAACACCAGAACAGCTAGCACAGTCAGGCTTTTATTACGAGGGCTCCGGCGACCAGGTGCGGTGTTTTCACTGCGACGGTGGCTTAAAACATTGGGATCCACACGACGAACCATGGACGGAACATGCGAGATGGTTTCCGCACTGCGGATTTGTGGCCCTGCTCAAAGGACAAGATTTTATTACTGCATGTGCGCCTGAATTAGATGCCGCAAGTGTTAAGGTAACTCATTACTATAGACCAGGGTAGCATGTTCATAAAACATGAGTGAAGTTGCAAAATAACAAAATTTATTAGCATCCTGCAATAGTGATAGTAAAACCGACAGAGGCCACGATTTTCATTGATTTCAAGAGTCGTGAAGAAATCGCAATTGCATATTTATGAATGAAACGAGCGAATAATCGATAATCGAATCGGCGTGGAATGTAATCGCGCGCGCCTTCTCTTTCCCGCGGTGAGGTCGCCATGCATGATTCATACCGCGTTAGATTATTAGCGGAGAAGGTGAGGAGGTAATTATTAATGCGCTCTCATTCCCATGGATCTTAAAGTGCATAACAATTACCCGCACAAGCAGCTATAAACTGTGCTAGATAGTTTATGCATAAAGTGAAAATGTTAATATTGCTGGTAGGGTGGCCACTCGTTTTTGAACTTTTACGATTTAGTAAAAGTTAGTTGAAGTTTTTTGTTTTTTTCATTTTGTTACTTTACCATTAGCCAGTACTTAGCATGCCATGATGAGATTGAGCTAACATTCAACATCCTGTTATTATCCGACCACGGTTGTTATTAGCGCAATAAATAAGGACAATTTGTTCAAGCCTTAAAAGAATGCGTGGAAGCTTAATAAGAGGAAACGCATTTATTTAAAGTTTTGAAGAGGGCCAAATTAAGGGCATTCATGCAACAAGCGAAGTCAAATTGGAAAGTGCAAAAAAGAACGCCGCAACTTAAAACAACCGGGTATCAGAGAACCTCTTTCATCTTCGCATCTTTAAAGATCTTTCATAACCACATACAGTTTGTCTTCAATAAGATTTCATTTTTGTGCAAATTATGTCGGAGAGATACAATTGTTGCGCGTGCACGAACGCGTTGTATTTTGCAAAATATTGTATCCTTTATGGCTATGCGGTTATGCCTTTTACTTGTTGGGATGGTTGGCTGCAATGCTTGCATGCCTCGTTGTGTAATGCTCGCAATAATGATCACAGAACATTGCGCCGAACGCGCGCCGCCGGGGAATGCAATCAATGCGACCGAACAGCAAGGCGGGCGAATAACTAGCTTCCATTTCTTTTCACCTGAAGAGACGAATCTGTACGAATCTTCAAACGCCTTAAATTTTCTTTTTTGTGCGTTATTTATTGCCTTAAATACTACCGGAGACTCGCAGGAATTGTAGAAAATTGCAATTTATGACGTTGTTGTTTGTTGCTGGATGACTTCTGATGACTAAGTTTGTCTATGCAATGATCAATGAAGAATAAAGAAGGAACATGGCTCACGCATCTTGCACTATAAAATTAGCATCAAATTTACATACGAGTACGACAGACCACAGATGTTGCAAATACTGTTTTCGCTGTGATAGTACGAAAACTTGTATTTTAACTCTTTTAATGATTTTTAAATGCGTCATATATTAGCGCACTTGTGCGCAAAGCTACTTTTAATGTCTAATCGCTTCCATTAAATGGTGATCGTCATCAAATGTACATCGTAATACTTTACATTTGGTAAACAAAAACCGCTGTTGACATTGAACAAACCACAATAACGCATTTGAGTCACTTCTTTTAAGCAATAACAATTTCATTGCAAAATGGAACGTTTCAGTTTTGTTTTTACATAAAAGTTGGATAGGAAAGCATTTTGCTCCTATATTAATAATTTAGAGAGAAAAAAAAAACACCGTACACGTGAAAATTTAAATAGGAATATTTTCCTGTGTTAAGTAAAATTGGATATTAAATTGGCCAGGTTCTTGCTAGGTAACTGAAGGAATGTGTAATTTGTAGTCCGTTGTACGTTTCTGAATGAAACTGCGTTCGATTGTGCACGCGTATAATTTCTTTCTTCTACAACACAAAAGCGACCCGGCGACGCGGTTATAAAACGACTTAAGTCTTTACACTTAACAACTTCCTACGTGGGTAACTCGCGACACTCACACACAAACAGATCACAGGACAAGTTAAGAACGACTATGAATATATGTGTTTGAAGTAGTGTACGAACAGGAAGTTGTGTTTAAAACGGGGCGCGCACAAACAAAACGTCAACGAGTCGAAGAGAAAAAGGGAGAAACAAATGCAATTCATTTAAAAGTGGGTGGAATACACAGGATGTAATTATAGGAAATTGATGGGATATTAACATTTGATGTTTTAAATGAATAACCATGTTTTAAATTTGTAACAATTAGCATCGTGAAAATTTTTAAATATTTTGAAGAGTTATAAAGGAGAAAGCTTCTCGCAGTTGCATTAATGGCACAAAACATGAATGCCATCGCAAAGTCCGGCTTCTTTAGCGCAGGGTCTTATTCAGTTCGTTCGCCGCAAAGGTGTGCACACAAAGGTGCTTTACTTTGTATCGCAAGTACGTGCACCGAGCACGAGCACAAAGCGAGCGGCCAGTGCTCGATGCATTTGCGCAAAGGTCAAATTGCTCGCACGGTCCGCGTTCTGGTTGAGATCGCGAACGGCGAACGCATAAAATACGAAAACGGAAAAATTAAATCGTGATACGCGTCCGTTAGACGAAAAAATCGTTTCTAATGTGCAATACGTGTCTATTCTATCGACTATCCAGTATTGAACAACTGTTAACAAATCGACAGACAAATATATAATATATACAAATATACAGCGATATAAATAACTGTAAATATGAAATATAAATATATATTTTTTAATTTCGCAACAAAAAAATTGCGTTAATGCATATTAATCAAGTTTATGCTAATTATGCTACTGGCTAGATAAGATGCGCTCCGCCGATTGTAACACTACTCACTGCATTTAGTTTTATGTAGAATAATGTTATGCGTGCGTAAATGTGGGTAATCCATATTTTCAGGCACTAACAGTATTCATACAATAAATACCATCGCATGCAGACCGAAACAGAAAATAACGTAAAAGTATATTGAACGGAAAGGAAACAACCGCTTTGTTTGACGAATTGATCGACGATTGTAGAGAATCTTGAGTGCACCGATTGCGCGATAAGAAATTTATAAAGCAGCCATAAACTATTCAATTATTAGTGGTAATGATGTCGAATTTCGTCATCTATTCAACGGACGTCTATCGCGCGTGCAGCAATTACTGCTGGGTTGCTGATGCAGTAAGTTTTATTGAGATTTGAATAAATCATCTACTCAGCCTTTAATCATTCACGCAAAACTAATCAATTATTTGACCATTGTTTGCTCATGCCGGGAAATGCGATTACTAAGTTAATTCAGGGCGGATATTTGTGATTTGTTCATTGTGGGGGAGTAACATCCTTCCTTCCTTCCCATCGCCTACGATACTTGAAACAATACTAATTTGAATTCAAATTTAAATGATCTTAGTCATAATTTAACTTTGTTTATTTTCTTTCAGGAATTGCAAGCAGCATCGCGTAGGACGGCTCAACACAGAAAAGAAATCACAGAGCGAGATGTCCAGACGCATATGCTGTCCGCCCCGGCACGCGCCGCCCTCGACGTCGGCCTGCAGGTGGACCGTGTAAAACAAGCCATCCGCGATAAACTAGAACGTACAGGCGCCGGCTTCTCCACCGGCGATGCGCTCATTGAAGCCACCTTGAATCTCCAGCGTGACGAAGATGAGAACGGCGACGATCATATATCGCGCAGTGTGACCAATATGCTCAACGACGTCATCTCCAGCCTTAACGAGCCGGGAACCCCGACGAAATCAACAGCAAAACCTCAAACATCTATACCGCAACCGCAGGTTAGAAAAACATCACCAGATGGACAGCTGCCGGCGGACGCAAGACCCACCCGCAAATTATCCTTAGAAGAAGAGAATAGATTATTGAAAGAGGCGAGGTTGTGTAAAATTTGTATGGATTGCGAGGTGGGGATTGTTTTTTTACCATGCGGACACCTTGCCACATGTATCAATTGCGCACCAAATCTGCAGGATTGTCCTGTTTGTCGAAGCGCTATCAAAGCCACAGTCAGGACGTTTCTATCCTAATAATTGTCAGACAAATCAACTCGAAAAAAGTGTGTTAAAAATAAATCGCCGAGGAAATTCAATTAGAAACCTAGATTAATGGCAATGATGATCTACTATTGAAGTAGTGTATGTGTCAAATAGCCAAATTTATCAAAAAATTGATATGATAGAGTATTTAATATTTGACGGTCAAATAATTGTGTTTTTGATTCTGATTGAAATGAATTCAAATGATGAAATTCTGCATGTATTTTAACATTTACATCACCTCACTCATCACTGGGTCATTTACGGCGTGATAACATTCACACTATCATTCTAATTATTAGAAATTCTACACCAAGTCCTACATTATATTCTATGTACAATTTGTTGCTTATTGATTAACTTATGAGTGTATACTTTTATTATTTATTATAGTCTGATTAAATAAAATTGTCAAACTATGGCTGTAAAAAGTGTGTGTGTGCACTTATGTGACTTACTTTCCCATGAAATTTCATATGGAGACAAAATGGCGGCCAAAGTAACAAACGGTAAGTTACTTGCTTTCGAACTGTACTTGTACGGAATGAAGAGTAACGACGTATGTACCGCCAGTACATCAAGTATTTCTTAGGCCGAAAGTTCAATATACTTAGCGAGTTAGCGCATTCCAGCACCAACTTGAGCCAAAACAAAGTTGTCAGCGTCAAAGCGCAAGAAATGTTGATGCATAAAAAAGAAACATTACCTTTTATATTGTTGGTCTTGACATGTTTGGTAGTTGAAAGTTGAAACAATGCCGAATGCGGTAGGAACAGCTTTGCCGTCTGCAAAAAATGAGACCACATACGTAGATAAGTAAATTGCAATTAAACAAGTTTACGTTTGTCTTCTCAGAACACCGATAAACATTAATTTACATTGTAATACTTATTTGTATTTATCTTGACAAATCCCAAATTAGCGATAACATTCTTACGTTTTTTTGGAACTTTATCGCTTATATAAATATCCTCAATTCAAATAATTTAAAAAAGAAAACAATGAATCTTTATAAATATATTTGACGCAGTTATGAATGGAACTTTCGGAACTAATGTAATTGTTCAGTTATGTAAAAATACAAATGCGCACAAAATAATTAAACACTTAAAGTTGTCAACTATGAATAGATAATTGAATTTGAAAGATTTATTACGCATTAACTAATTGCTTGATAGTTTTATTCTTATATAATTTTTATTTTAGCAAAGTTTATTGTTTGCAAATAAGGAAGAAGAGTTCGTAAACTGTTGTAGAATGCATACTTATTATTAATAGCGTATATGGAAAGTTTAATGATTCACAATCATAAATGCTTGACTATTTTCTTTGTAACTTTCACGCGCACTATTTAGCAACAATCGATAATGAGAAATGATTAATACATGTGAAACATGTGCAACAAGTGCAAACAATAAATGACTGTATGCAATCAAATAGCAATGAAATCACCGCCCAAATAAAAATCAATAACACTTAAAAGATTTCTCAACGAAACACAATTTCTAAAGTCCTCGAGAAATCATCATCTCATCAACATTATAATTCCTCGGTTGGAGCTCATTATCACTCCTGGCTTAATATATACAAGGCACGTTAAAGATTTCTTCCTAGGTGTACGCACAAAGCTCAGTTTTATTCACAACAAATTCTTAAGGAATCTATTGAAATTCAGTATTCACCTCTGCGCAACTCCACACGCCTCGATACACGGCTCGCATCGTTGCATTCTCGGCCGGTAATTTACTTTCGAGCCAGTCTTTGCTGAGTCTTTCAAAGCGGTCCGAAGCACAACCGCGAGGAATTAAAAACGGCAGATGTTGAACATACGATGTGGCACAAGCCACCAGGTATACTCAAGGTGCGCGCCGGCAGCAGGTGCATGACGACGATATCCAGCGTGCGTGCCGCACCAGGTGCCACCAACAAGCATCACCATCACATGCCGGTACCGAATAAACAACAAAACGTAAAAAGTCTTCTGAAGCTATCCAAGAATGAAAAGATTTTGAAATGGTTCAAGAGGATACCCTTCGAATTGGGGACAGATGGCACGTGTTGTTAGTAGATCCCATTTTTATAATTGTGAAAACTATATTTATCTGCGCAGAATTGGGATATGTTGATGTGTGGGCCTCACAATGTCCGATGTTTAATTATTTACTCAGAGATCGTATTCCACGAATCTCTTGCATCTCGTGCATCTTATGGTATGCCGGTTGTTCTGGTCCATGGACTTTGGTCTCGACCGCGAATGGAATTCAACCAGTTTCTTCTCATCCCCACATCCTCACCACTACACACGAGCACACACCTGTACCCGCACACAGCTTTTCATCTTCGCCGTTTTCTCTTCATCAACGTGGCCAATGGCTGTACCTCTCTACCTGTAGGTTCTCTTGGAAAGTTTTGCAAGCAGGTAGGCCTTAAGACGCCTTAAGTCTTAAGCAAACTCTAAACCTATAGTACATCTACTCAACTCATAATCTTCCTCGCGTGGAATGAGAATTTCTAGGCGTGTGTTGTGGTGGTCGACGAAGGACCTTCGTCTTATTCTTAAGATTCCTAAGAGATGTATTGTGACTTATTTGTCGCTCGTTGCTTGTAAGCCAGTGTACTTCTAAGAAATCTTCAGCTAATGAACAATTCCAAGAGATTACCGCATGTAAAACATGAAATTAAATTAAATTAAAAATTAAATTGCATGTAACTAGCCGTAAAAGGCAAAGTTTTAATGCCAGTTATGTAGTTATGCTTAATTGTGCTGTTTTCCATTGAGAAGTTAAATTAAATTTCATACCAACACTTGTCCTCAACAAATTCAAGTATTCGTGGAATACTTTTGACAAAGGTTGCGTATTAGCTTTGGATTTTTAATTAAACTAATGAATACACGTGCCCAATATTGAGAATGGTTTCGATTAGATTAGGCATCCAACAACCTAATCTACCAACATCACACACAAAGTTACATACTACGAAACTAGTTATTCGCCTAAAATAAAAGGTAAAAATGTAATTAACTGTGATTGGGTTCTTGCCTCACATATCATTAGATATAATTAAACTAAATCACCTGTAGAGAATATTAATTCTGTGGAATCGTATTTTTCGTTTTGACATATATTTACTTAGAGTTTGACGACCTATGATACACAATGTAGTAAAATATTCTCAGATAACAACATTTAATAACATTTGCGGGGTTTTTAATGAAAAGCTGGTCTTCATATCATTAACATGACTGTGGAATCAAGCGAAGTGATAAAACTGTAGCAGATATATTTGAAAAAAGTCTATGAACAGCTGCATTTAACACTTCGTGCTTATTTCAATGACCTATACATGCCTTTTGCGTGAATGATTTACATACCCTCCACATGCATACCCTGACGTACGAAAATCTAGTCATTTTGCAATTAATGTAGCCATTTATAGAGATTGTTCGTTAGCTCCCACCATTAAAAACAAGCAATTGTCATAAACAGTTAAAGACAACTGCAATTAACAAAACATACCGCTAAGATAATTAATTTGAGACTTCAGGTATAAAATTCACAAACCAACTCTAAAATTAACAATAAATAATATAATTAGAATGGTCTCATCTAACATTTGTCCACCAAGTGCTAAGCACTTTTTTACAGTTTCCACATAAAAAGTCCAGATAAAATTAATATAACTATTATCAAATATTTGATAAGTACTGATAATAATCGGCTATATAGCAACAAATAATAAATATTACAATTACAATACCTACTTCACTATAGAATATGAATGGTAGCGGTTCGCTCAAAAAAGCTTTCGCTCAGAAAATTGTTGTTCCTAATAAAGAACAGGAAAAAAGTTAAAAGGACGTAAAATATAATGAAGTATAAAATTTAAATACTCCATAATAAGGCATTAAAAGAACAAGTTTTTATTACGCGGGTAACATATTCTCATTTTAAGCACACCATGTACCAACAAATCGTGATAAACTGGCAAAGTACTCTCCAAAGTTTACGACTTTTTCACCTGGACTTAACTCACACTTTAATTACTCCTTGATCAAGTAGAAAATCACGGAAAATCGTATGACCTCATTTGTATTTACTGTTAACTGTACTTAAGTTATAAGTCATTGTTAAGCACATTATTGCATTACTTGTTCAAGATAACCTTTAATGCATTTCCATTGTGTGAGCTAGTTTAAACAATCTTATCACAAAGTTACAAATATAACTTTATTGTTTCAATAAGGCCGCTTTGTACAAATACACAATAACTACGCACGCAACTAAGATTAACTTTTGAATAATTTTGAAACTATATATAATGATACTTATGCACTTTCGTGTTTTATAGTGTAATATTGTAATCAGTACAGATAACACCGTCAAAAATTTATAAATCAAAAATCTAAATTTTTGTCACAGTTGACAGTTGTTGATAAAGTTAAATTTTTTTTTTAATCTGCCATAATCTGATTACATTCGCGTAAACTACAGAACTGAGCAACAAAACAAATTATTTCAGAATTTATTCTGATGATTACGATCTGTTTTTTTCGTGTTATCATTAAGATAAGAATCTCGGCGCCAAAATGATCACATCTTTAAAATCTGTAGTAGATACTTCAACTGCCAGAAACTGCATAGTGAAACGATAAGTAAATGTTGAAATGTAAAACAGTATATTGCAATATTGTTAATATTACCAGGAATTACGAATGCGCCTGATCGAGTTGAAAATTACAATAAGTCAAGGTGATTTTAATCAAATCAATTGGGAGCTTGTCCTGTTCGCTGATAAATTCATTCCGTTGCACTGCAGTTACGTGAGTGCTGCGTGTGTGCCATTAAAATATCGCGGCACGAAAAATACGTCGCAATGCAGCAAATATTTTGTTTTGCACTTGACGTTAGGTCATAAAGTGGAAACTTATTCACTTATTACCTCTGCTGCGTTATACAACTCACATGTTTGCCTAGACGCGCCGACAAATTCACGATTAACAATTACATTTTGTTTATTTCAGGCGCAATACGCGCTAATTCAAAAACGCAATATTCTCGAAAGAGAAAAAAAAATTAAAATATTACAGACAATATACAAACAAACATTTCAAAAAATGTGACCTTATCACAGTAAATAACAATCTAATCATTTGAGATCAAATCTGTCCGCCAATGATGCTTTACTTATCTTTTAAAAATGAATTAAAACCAGTCATTATTAATCACAATGAATGCCCAAAACAATCGATAACAAGGACTTTATATTGCAAATTTTTGTGCGCATGAATTGTTGATGCTGGGCGAGTGGGCGTTGTTCGAATGGTCAAGTTTGCGTCGGCGTGGTAGGAGTGTAATTTCCTGTTTTTCTCGATTTTTCTAGATACAACATCTTTCATTGCCCGTACCTATTGAAATACTAGTTGGCGGAG